AAAATTTGAATCTACAGACTCTATTATTTATTTAATTGTCTATTAATTAAATAATGGATCTGCCATTAAATTGCATTAATTATACATACAAGTATTTATGTCCAATGTTGATTGAACCTAGGGCATAATACTTACATTGCCAACATCTTTCGGGCTAGCATTAGAACCATCTTGAGTTCTGTTGTCTTTCGCGATGAATAATAGCTACCTGAGGGGCTGGAAATTGAAGGAATTCAAGGAAACAAAGGGCTCTAATAATAAACTTGCCCTTTGACGAAAGCCAAAGGATTATAGGCAGAAAAAGAACAAGAGCTTTGAATTACTTTATTTTTTTTCAACAACTCATGCACTACACGTATCTATTGCATGGTGACTTGGATACAAATGAAAGCAAACAATTGAATTTGGCGCACTATTCTCAGCCCAGGGAAACAGTCACACACGTGATCGATTGAGAATAAATTCGCACAACTAGTTCGAAAATGACGGAGTAAAAGATAGTCGATATAGTATACAGTCAGTGAATCCGATGGAAAAATCCACAAGCATATTAAATTAATGCTAAACCCACTTCTTTTTTCTTTTCCCTCTAAAAAACATCATCAAAATTTCTTCAACAATTAACGGACTAGTAACAGTTGTGTTTACATCTGTGTTGATCCACTAAGAATCCGTGTCACTCACTTGTCAATATTCTCCCCCAATACTTAAGGAGGAAAAAGATAAAATAAAATAAGAATCATCAAATGTGTTCCATGTTGAGTGCCCCTGTATAGGAAAATTTAAGAAGAAAGAAAGGTCGTTTAACTATTCATGTAAATTTGGCCTTTCAAGCAACTATAAGATAAGAGGCTGTGTTACTTGGGGTGGTAAATCACAAATAAAATTTTTTGTTCTAAATATTCAATCAAAGGTTGTCACTACGAAGATATAGTTAAAAAGAGAACAATGGCGCGGGAATGGAAAGAATTGATAGGTGTGGATGGAGATGCCAGTTTTGGCATTGATGTTTTTCAAGTCCTTTGTGTAGTTTTGGGTACCTTTCTTATCATAGTAGTAGCAATCACAACATGTGCAGATGGTGCAGTACCACAGGACAAAGGTGCAGCCGCAGATTCGGGTGCTTATGGGAGCACTTGCGAAGCTGGCTGTGGTGCAGCTTGTGGTGGATAACTAGCTGGTAAAGCGCAGAGGCCAGAGTTGAAAACCTTCAGCAGCTACAGTTTGAGAAGAATTCATCCATCTTGCACAAAAGATAATGCCCGTACGGTTGTTCAATTCTATCTTTTTTTTCCAGTCAAGCTTTTTCCAAGTTAAGTAAAGACTGGCTACAAGGTAAAAAGAACTAGTTAATTCTGTGCAGTGAAAAGCCAATCACCCATTTTGACATCATTAGCTGTTTACTTCATCCAATACCTTTTTCAACTTGTCCCTCCATATTTAAATGTAAACATGCCCTGAATGTGGTAAAAGAGCAACTTAGACACATAACAGCAATCTGTGGGAAAATGAGAAAAATCCCCACGCTATTGTAATGTAGTGACAAACAGATTACTCTCTGAGTCCTTCAGTGAATTTAGAGAGAGATGATGTGTATAGCGAAAGTATTTTAACGATATTAACTAAACCGCTAATGTAACTAGTTTGAGTCGCTTCCGTGAACCATTCAAGAACTGTTCGAACCACAAATTTCTAATTTTTTGAACCAAGTAGTTTATGAAAATCAGACCAGTTCTCCAAGGTAAAATTAAAGTTACCTAACAATCGAACCACCCACTGACCACCTGTTTAACCAGGTCATCACTAGGTCGGGAACTCATAACTATGAGTCTCCCTAGTGTAGAATGTTTCGCTAATCAATTTCTGTTCACTGGTAGAAACAGGTTTGTGCCAATATTAAACATTTGTCAGTAGATATTGTTGCTTTCATATGTATACATTCAAAGATTGAGTGATGCTATTCAGTACCATTAGTGTCAAGTATCGGTCTAGATGTTAACTACATGACATTAAATGATAGATCACTTAAATACAATGTCACCTGATTTATTTAATTGAACCTATCAAGTGAGACCACTTAAACTGGTGCTCTAGTACCGCTAGTGCTAGATAACATTATTCTTATAGATTTGATGTGCAATAAAAACTTTACTTCTGCACTAATTTGCAGGATATTTATAAGTATTTATTAATGCCACGCAATATTGCAGATTATTTTGTTTGATTCTTTTTACAATTTATCTCTATCTCAGAACCAATATTATGCAAAACATAGGTAGCACTCAAAATAAATTGACTATCATTATGGGAAAAATCTTCCAAAGCAACGGGAAAACACGACAAGACTCTAATACGCTCCAGATCTTGCACTGATAATTAAGTTAAAAACAACATTAGTCACCCAAACTATAATCCATTTTCATCTGGGCCACCCATCATTTGTCTGTTTCGAATCATATTCAGTAATCTTATTTCAGGAGCAAACTGTCAACGAAAAATACCAAATGTCTGAAGCAGTATCAAACTATGAAACTATAGCTTACACACCCATCAATCCAGTTTATCAATAACTTGATTTTCAATCAAATCAATGCCAATACAAAACAAGAAAATATGCATATCCTTTACTATTTGAGAACTATACAATTCATTGAGCCAAATCTGTTAAGCTGCAGTCTAACCTTCACCTCTTAGCCTTCAATGCCACAAGGAGCCATCATCACTTTATGGCAACTGGCAGGCGCTCATACTATCTTTGGACTTATATTTGCCAAGCATTTCAGCAACAGTCCTGCAACGACATTGGTTCCCAGGCCGGATAACATCCCCATAAACAGCCATTTCAATAATGTCAAGCTCTTTATCTGATATACAAGAAAAAATACTTATCTTAAATTATTGCCCTAGCAAGAACACAGAAAATTCTCTGCAAATAGAGAGAGAAATTTTTTATCATGAAAAAATATGCTGAGCTTCTCAAGTACGGCTCATTAGTGAAGTTCAGCTGCCCAAGAGTATAATTTCTCCCTCTGAAGGACCTGACACTTCTGACTATTTCACAGAACTCGAAAAAACCCTGTTCTTTATAGGTCTCAAGATTTTTGGGCAGCTTACATCACCATAAAGTTATAACTATGGAAATTTCAAGTTCAAAAGGGACAAGGGATTAAATTACTGTCCTGAATTTGGCATAGATCCCTGACCAGCCTCATTCCCAGAATTTGTTGAGTTCTTCTGTTCATGTTACATTGCATCGCGTTGAAGCTCTTAGAATTCTAGGGAAAATGCCTGTCGTCAAGTAGAGAGGAACATCTCATGGAATTTGGCATGTAACACACTACTTCTCAATGTCATGAATATAATATCAGGCTTCCTCTAAAACTTGACTACTTCTAGCTGTAACTTCTTAGATGAAGAAAGATCAATTCAACTGGATAAATGCTTAAAAGGAGCAAATGACAGAGGCCCCTGTTCAGCACCTACCGGGTTCTTCGAAGGTATTTGAAGTTACAAGTGATGCTTCACACGTCAGAATTCGAGGGATTCTTAGTCAAGAATCAAATCTAATCCACTATCTTCTTGTGAAAGTGAATGAAGCAAAGCAGAACTATTTTATTTATGACAAGGAATTTTATGATCTCGTTAAAGCTATTCACTAGTGTCAACACTATTCAATTTCAAGGAGTTTGTGCTGTATTCTAACCATGGGGAACATCAATACATACACTCTTCAAAGGAATTATGAACATGGTAAACAGATATATTTCTTGCAGCAATATTCCTCTGTCATTGATCATGAAACGGGAACCAAGAACACAGGACCCAATGCACTTAGTTGGCTAGTCCATATCTTACTTCTAAGACCGGTCTAGTCGTAGGTTTCAGTTTTATAAGAAGACATTACTCCAATTAAGGATTGACAAGAAAAAGATAAAAGAGAAGAACATAAACGTGATGAAAGTTTCAAGTACCAGTGAATTTGATGTCACAAGAGTAACCTTTCAACTGAGATGTATCAACATCCTCCTTGTTCGCTTTGAACCTATTGACCCTTGTTTGAAGAATCTGGCAATTCTCTGCCACCGACTCCCCACCTGCAGCAGAATAACCATACACATTCGTATTTCAAATTATCACAAAACAGTGTTCAATAACAACAGAAGCACACAACACAGAACAATTTCTAGAAAATGCCAACAACAGAAAGCATCAAATTTTAACTATAATCGGCACTTGCAAATCCATTATCTACGAAAATTCAAGGAAGCTTTGCAATGCTATTATACAATTAATCGGGATTAAATTATACAAGTACATTCATATGATGAAAAGAAAGGAGAAACCTTTAGAAAAGGGGACGATATGATCATATTCAAAACAGAGGCAGCCTTGGCAGTTACAGAAACGTTTGCAGACTACATTCCCTGCTGCATCTTTGCGCCAGCGCTCTGGGTGGCGGCCTGGCACAATCTCTGCATTGGCCCAGCATAAATTCTTGGCCTTATTATCAAAGAATCTAGGCCTGTCGTCCTCTTTCTCCACACGAGTGCGCCTAGGCGACGAAGAACCAGAGCCTGCGCTCATCTCTCTCTGTAAGTACACCAAATCGACCTTTAAACTTGAGTATTCGGGTGGACGGGTTATAACCCTAGTTTCTATTGGGCATGCTGGTATTTGTCCCGTGCCCAAGAAATATTTTTAAAATTGCCATTTTTAAAAAAAAAAAAAACTTTGCTCTCCTCCAAATTCCTTCCTTCTTTCCCTTTTTTTTTCTTTTATTATTATTACTATTATTATTATTTTTTTTTATAACTTTGCTCTCCTCCAAATTCCTTATCATTTACGCTTGAAAGTTCCCAGATACGGCAAATGGAATGGTTACGTTTTCATATTGAGATGCTACAATAATCCAATTTTGAGTTTTCTCATCGTTGGTCCAAGATGCTAATTCAATTCTAAAGGTCAGTCAAACAATGGCATGATCATTGTTGAATTAGATATGCCTTATAGTTGCACCCGTGGCGTGCATATGTTGATGCGTTTCTATCATGCTATCTGTACAGATAGTATTTCTCATATTTAAAAACATCTTCAATATGACAATATAAATAATATGTGTGAAGCAAAATAAGAAAAGATTGAATAACGTCTTCAGTAGAATGTAAATTGCTCTAATCGTGGACTAGATGTACACGAGAAAAAATGTAGAAAAAGAGTTAAAGATAAATTATTAAATAATTAAATAATAACTTAGATAAATATCAAAAATTAAACAGAGAGTGCTACACACCTTTTAGACATCATTAACATTTTTCATTGTCATGTAAGCAATTCTAAAGAAAATTTGACACTCCTTTTAGTGAAATTCAAAGCTCAATTGGAGATGATCTAAAACAAACGCTAATCCATTGCGATTGCAACAGCGTTCTTGGCCATCAATATGTTTATCCATAACTAATTGACTTGTTACATTGTCTTCTTCAATTCCCTTTTCTTTTCTTTTTTTGCATTTTTTTTTTCCCTTCTTTTTTCCAATTACCATGAACTTAACACTTCATTTTAAAGACCCATTTTTTAAAGGTCTATTTATTCATATTTCAGTAGTAGTACGCGCAAGAAACACTAACACCCATTTCGAAGCCATGCCAAACATAGGGATCCCCGTTAAATAAATGAGCAATCATGAACAAATTTTCCATCTGTGCCATATTCCTGATTTTACCATTTCACTGGCTTCAGCATAGCTTTAAAACTGACTCTTTAGACGAAGCAAAGCACTCAATTGTCTAAAACATTAAACTAATTCAAACATTCGCATGTATAACGAATATATGACATGCCATAGAAGAGTGTCTGTCTGCAATTTCCAAAACATAGCATTAAATATCCATTGAAGCAAATTGTAAGTAAGTTTAAAACAGTAAATCCATAGCATACCAAGAAGCCAGTCACAAGGTTTTCTCTAATAATCCAGATCCTTGACGCAGCCTCTAAATAAACTTGGCATATCGGGGTTGAAAACATAAAAGACGGTAGGATAGTACTACAAGATATATTTTTGTTAACACTGGACAAACAGTTTGCACAAAGAAAGCGAACTACTTGGGGCCAATGTCCTTGAGACCACATATCTGCTCTTCACCCATTGCAGACATCACACTCACAACCAGGTCCTTCCCCTCAGCAAAACCGTCCTTGATCTGCAAACATGACAAATTGGGGAACAAACAATGATTAGATGTCAAGTAAAAATTGGCCCTCATCAAGAAGGTAAATACTGGGCCACAGAAAAGAGCAATCTCCAAGGACAAGCCGTGAAGCATCCATTTACCAAGCTTCTAACTTAAATATGCAACACTGTGAATATCTTCAAATTTCAAATCAACGGTTAAAGAGAAAGGTATTGATTCCATGAACTGAGGAAACAAAAACCAAGAAGGTAAATCATTGAATTTACGCTGGAGTCTTTCAGAGCCATGTGAAGGTTCAAATAAATTTCCTAATAACCCAATAATTGTAACAGTACAAACAACGAAAATATTTTTCAGATAGCAAAATAAAAATTACAGTAGATATGCAACCTGCAATCTTGTCCCGTCGTCATATATATCACAAACAAGAATAATTTTTTCTTGTTATATGTGTCAAGAACATGGTGGTGGACATTTCTTCTTTTTTTTCCGCTCGTAAAATGTAGGAGATAATAACAAGCAGTAGGAAAATTTATACTATTGATATGACTCAGTAAATATAGAATCTAAGAGAAAGGAAAATCCTGCAAAAAGGATAGAGCCTTAAGGGTTACCTGGGTTAGAAGATTGTCATCAGTTGGTAGCCTCAGATCATCCTTGGTATTACCATTTTCAGTCAGCAAACTCACCTGTATTATAACCAGAACTAAGATAGTCAAGTACAAGTAAAAATATCACTCCTAAGCTTACATCAAGAGGCTAGACATACAAATCCATCCTCAGAAATATCAATGAGCTGGTAGTCAGTACGATTGACGTGAGGCACCTGTATATTTTAAGAAAAGAAGGCAGCATAACAAGGTTGATACATGAAAAGAAAAATGTAGTAAAATGATTGATCGATAAACAAAGACCTACATCACAGTTATGGGAAGATGGGACAATATCTTCCAGCTTTTTAGCAGTGAAGATATCGATTGCAACAAAGTGACATTTAGCATGACCATGCTTGCCAGTTTTAGATGTTGAAACTTCAACCACCTGTAACAAAGAAACGCTTACTCGAAACCAGAAAGGCAGAAATTATAAAAGAAAAAAGAAAAAAGGATGAAACAACAGTAAATGTATGGATAAAGGCCAAGTAGATAAAAAAACTTCCAAACTGAAAATAATCACTAGAAAAGCAGCTGGACGAGACAAAGCTAGATTAACCAAACCAGCATGTGACAAGTAGATATAACTTTTTGGTTTTTCCGAAACAGTGATAAGGGAAAACATTATTCTCATCCCGCTCTCAGCATGTGCACATGGCTGCATTCCCTCCAGAATTCCAACTTAAAAGGGGTAAATACTCCACATATAAAATCACAAAAGATCCCCCTCC